CGATAACGTGACTAGTACCTTGCGAACACGTTACATTTTTTTAACCTCAGCAAGTGGTTAAGAACCTGTCCCAGGATTTAGGCCTGATCAACCTATCTGTAACGTGTTCGCAAGGTGCTAATCATGTTATCGGTAATAGATATGATAGTTGGCAGGTGGCCTGCTCTTCCAGAGAGGAGGCGAGAGCTGAGAACTAAAGGAGGCTTCGAGGGCGTACTGGGGAACAAAGAAGTAACTGTTCAACCAAGTATATTGAAATACACTCTGTCGAAGTCTGCCTTTTCTATCGTAGAAATAGGCGGTCTTTAAATACACAAATCTGTTCATGTCTAGCATGAACGAAACTAATCAAAGGTATCAAGTGATACACTTTAGTAAAACTTCTTAAGTATCAAAGCGATACTTAAAACAAAACATAAAACAAAACCAAGTATCAAATGATACTTAAAACAAACCAAGTATCAAAGCAATACTTGAAACAAAACATATAACAAAACCAAGTATCAAATGATACTTAAAACAAACCAAGTATCAAAGCGATACTTGAAACAAAACATAAAACAAAACCAATAACCAAGTACCCGTACCGGTTACATTGCCCAAAACAAAACAACTGTTTAAACAAACAAAACCTAATAATCATCAAAAGTGGATTCCGAGAAACTCCTGGCTTCAGTTTCCGCAAGAAATTCCTCATCATAAGTATCACACTAGGGAGAAGAGGAAACTCTAAGGAAACACTTAGACTCGAAGAAATCTAAATCACAGTAGTCACGAATACCAGATTTGTGCTGTTCATCAACCCAAGCATGATCGCAATCAGGACAGTAGTCAATCCAAAGGATTTCAAAGTAGTCTTCAAGTTGGATACCATCGCGGTTCAACAACAGTCCAACAATCTGTTGTCTCTGCCTCACATTGAGCTCCACATAGTTTGACATCGTTATGGTATTCGGATGGTGATTGGTGACTAGATAAAGTTGTCAAGGGCCTGCTCCATAGTTTGATTCTCCTCATTGCTGCTTTCGAATTCCGACTCAGAGTATGGTGCCCAAAATCTATCCCTAGCTTCGAGTTCTGCATGCCATCGCTCAGTTTCTGGCATTGTAGGTGTCCAGCACATGGTGATATAATTGATTGTTGGGGGGAGGGATTCGTTTGGCATGTTGTCTTTCCACCATCCGTTCACCATATCCATAGCGTGCTCTAGTCCTTCTAGTGGTTCCCAACTGTTTTTGCTCATTGGATATCCTTTCCATTTGACTAGGAACTGATCATTTCCATTCCAAATGCGGTGGTCTCTGATTTCTTCAACTTCCCATTCATCCTTCTTATCGATGATGATAGGTGCAGGCCGAGAGTGGGTTCTTCCAGGAAACTTGGAGTCGTCATTAGGATGGAATCGCTTGACAGCTGAGGCGTGAAAGACTGCAGTATTGCGGCACTACATGCGTCCATCCATCTGGACAGTGTAGTTCTCTGTATGCTCGTCAAAGGATATGACTTTGAAGGGTCCGCGCCATCGGGGTTGCAGATTCTTACTGCATCCGACATTGGTAATGAACATGTTACTGTGAACCATGAGCATATCTCCTGGTGAGATGGGAACATGTTTGCGTCGTCATTTCTGGGCAGTAGTGGTGCTTCGGAATCGGGCAGCCTTAACAGCTTGGAAGGCATCGTTCTGAATTGCTTGGCGACGGTTTAGATGGTCATCAGAGGCAGGGACTGAGGAGTTCTTAAATAGTGTTGTAGGTAGGAGGGGGTATTGATGGCCAAAGACTGCCTTGTATGGTGACATCCCCAAGGTATCTGAAAATATGGCGTTGATATATGCAGCGAGCTTAACAAGGGCTGGTTCCCAATTGTTTTGTCGTTCATTGATCATA